AGCTCTTTCTTCTTATGCAAACCCTAAACCCTAGCCCTCCCTTCTTAGGCAAACCCTAAACCCTGTCTCTCCCTTCTTAGGCGAACCCTAAACCCTAGCTCTCCCTTCTTAAGCAAACCGTAAACCCTAGCTCTCCCTTCTTAAGTAAACCCTAAACCCTAGCTCTCCCTTCTTAGGCAAACCCTAAACCCTAGCTCTCCCTTCTTAAGCAAACACTAAACCCTAGCTCTCCCTTCTTAGGCAAACCCTAAACCCTGTCTCTCCCTTCTTAGGCGAACCCTAAACCCTAGCTCTCCCTTCTTAAGCAAACCCTAAACCCTAGTAAACAAAAGGAACAAAAAAGAGGTTTTAATGTGCATTTGCCGTTGCTGCTGCCACACAGACAGCAGGAGCAGCAGCTGCAGCAGCAGCAGCAGCTGCTGCTGCTGCAACTACTGCAGCAGCTGCAGCAAATGCAGCAAGAAGAATCGTCATTTGTTGTTAGACGGGGAGCAGCAGCAACTTTTCACGCTGCTGCTGCTGCTGCTGCTGTTGCTGCTGCTGCTGCTACAGCAACTGCAGCAGGTGCTGCACTTCTAAGCATGAGCAGCATCAACAACAACAACAAGAGCAGCATATATTGCTTCTGCTGCTGCTGCTGCTGCTGTTGCTGCTGCTGCTGCTGCTGCTATCCTTGCTGCAGATAATGTATAACCTTATTCTCTATTGCCTCTAAGCAATAAGAGGAAAAAAGACCACTAAAATCACCTAAATATAACGAACCTAATAAACCCTGCACAGCAGCAGCAGCAGCAGCAGCAGCAGCAGCACAAGCAGCAGCAGCACAAGCAGCAGCAAAAGTAGAGGTAGATTAGGGTAGTAGATTTAGGGTTTAGGGTTTATGCTCAGCTACATATATAAGCGCTGTATGTCTCTGTCTCTAGGGTTTAGGGTTTAGGTTTTTTTTCTTGTTTAGGGTTTTTTTAGGGTTTAGGATTTTTTAGGGTTTAGGGTTTAGGGTTTAGGGTTTAGGGTTTAGGGTTTAGGGTTTACAGAGAAGAATTGTGTATATGGTGAGGTAGCAGCATAGATAATAGCAAAGGGAGGGATATGAGGGTTTGCTTGTGGTAACCATTCAAGGAGAGTCCTTAAATATAATAATACACGAAATAATCTGCAGCAGCAGCAGCAGCAGCAGCAGCAGCAGCAACAGCAGCAGCAAGTGCAGCAAGTGCAGCAAGTCGAGCAGCAGCAGCAGAAGCAGCAGCAAGGGGAGCAGCAGGAAGCAGCAGCACGTGTAGATGCAGCAATAGTATCATATTACTATGTAGTAGCAGCAGCAAATACAGCAGCAGCAAGAACTACATCAGCAGCAGCAGCAGCAACAGCAACAGCAGCAGCAGCAGCAGCAGCAGCAGCAGAAGGAGACAGACTTAATGGAGACAATAGCTGCATGCAGCAGCGGCTTCTTGTGCTGCAGTGCAAACAGCAGCAAAGGGCGACAAAGACGGAGACACCCCACAACTATATCTGTACATACCACCGTGCTGTTGCTGCTGCTGCTGTTGCTGCTGCTGCTGCTGCTGTTGCTGTTGCGTGTTGTTGTGGGGCCCCACAACAAAGACCCAAAAAGGGTACGGAGGGGCCCCGGCTTAGATACTGCAGCAAAGAGGGGGGCCCCCCTCCTCTGCATGCAAGAGGAAGAAGAAAAGGGTACAGTTGATTTAAAAGGAGACACACAATTAGAGGGGGGCCCCCCATTAATGAGGAAAGCAGAAGGTAAATACCCTCGCTGCTGCTGCTTCTGCTGCTGCTGCTGCTGCCGCTGCAGCAGCAGCAGCGGCTGCTGCTGTTGGGGGGATCGGTACTGCTGTAGAGAACAAGCTAATCGGGGAGACAGGCAGGCGCCAAATTTGCTGCTGCTGTTGCTGCTGCTTCTGTTGCTGCTGCTGCTGCTGCTGCTGCTGCTGCTGCTGCTTGTGTGCTGCTGCAGCGAATCCTTAAAGGTGTGTCCTGCTGCTGTGGGGCCCCTTAGGAGCAACGCGGCGTCAGCAGCAGCAGCAGCAACAGCAGCAAACCAGCAAATAAACCAGCAGCAAAGGCCCCTCATTATATATACAGACCCAAGACACCAGCTGCTGCTCTAATAAGGGGGGGGCCCCTCCCCCTAAAAAAGGGTACTGGAGGGGGGCCCCCAAGACAGCACAGCAGCAATTTACTGCTAAAGAGAAGCAGCAGATAAAGAAAAACTTAATAATATTATTCCTCACATTTAACACTCCCTGCAGCAGCAGCAGCAGCCGCAGCCGCAAGGGGGCCCATAGGGTACTAGAGGGGGGGCCCAGGTGGTGAACAGGTAGGGGGCCCCAAGGGGCCCCCCTTGCTGCTACCTTTTACTTTTGCTGCATGCACGGACTTTCTTATAGATGTCTTCTTTTATATTTTTGTTCTTATAAAGATAACAGATAAGGTCATTATTCCCCGCTGCTGCTGCTGCTGCTGCTGCTGCTGCTGCTTGAGCAGCAGATGCAGCAGAGGCAGCAGTCAAGCCTTAGCCATAAACCCTAAACCCTAAACCCTAAACCCTTTGGTGTAGCACCCTATACAGGTGTTAGTACGGGATATGGGGCGCACGGGTAAGCCCGTGCTGCTGCTGCCTCTGCTGCTGCTGCTGCTGTTGCTGTTTTTGCTGCTGCTGCTGCAGCAGCAGGTGGAGACAGAAGCAAAAGCACTAGCAGCACATAAGGCATCACTAAGTGTCTCCTCAACACTCCCTCGTGTAGCTGCGCTACAGCAGCAGCAGCAGCAGCAACAGCAGCTGCTGCAGCAACAGCAGCTGCTGCAGCAACAGCAGCACGTCCAGCAGCAACAACAGCAGCAACGCGGTCCTCTTTATACTTATTTTATCTTCCCTTCCCTGCCCCTTGGACGCCTGAGCAGCAACTGCAGCAGCAAGAGTGCTACAAGCAGCAGCAGCAGCAGCAGCAGCAGCAGCAGCGGGCTGCTGCAGCAACGCATGCGCTTTTTCTCTTCTTTTCGTTGTGCCCCTGTTGATAACGAAGAGGTAAAGCAGCAGCAAAGGAGACACATAAAAAGGAGACACCTGCTGTGCTGCTGTTGCTGCTGCTGCTGCTGCTGTTGCTGTTGCTACTAGTGCTGCTGCTGCTGTTGCTGCTGTGTCTGCAGGCACTCGAGGCCTTATCTAACAGCTTAAAGCAGCAGCTTCAGCTGCAGCAACTGCAGCAACTGCAGCAACAGCAGCAGCACCAACTGCAGCAACTGCAGCAGCAAGTGTCTCCTTTGCCTCCTCCCCCAGACATTCCCTCTGCTTTGCTGCAGCGAAAGTCAGACACTCTGCTGCTGCTGCTGCTGCTGCTGCTGCTGCTGCTGTTACTATTCCTGCAGCTGCTGGTGTTACTGTAGCTCCTGCTGCTACTCTTGCTGCTGCTGCTGCTGCTAATAGGTACCTCGGTTGCATGTTGCTGCTACTGTGCTGCAGCTTGCTGCTGCTGACGGATCCTTTATCTGCTGCTGCTGCTCGTCTGCTGACGACGCAGCTGCTGCACTTGGGGGCCTCGGGGGCCCCTGCAGCAACATTATATATTAACTCCCCTGGTAAACCCTAAACCCTAAACCCTAAACACTAGATAAGTGGGATATATATAACCTCCCCTCTTTTTTGTCCCCTTTTTTGTCTCTCTTTTCTTGCTGTTTGTCTCCTCTTTTTGTCCCCCTCTGTCTCCTTTTTCTTTGTGTCTCCTTTTTTCCCCTTTATTGCTGTCTCTTCTTATTCCTTTCTTCTTATTTTATTATTTAATTAATTGTCTCCTTTTTTTTGTCTCCTTTCCTCGTGTGTCTCCTTACTGTCTCCTCCTTAATTATTTTATTGCCTTATTTATTTCTCTCCTCCCCCTCTGTCTCCTTCTGTCTCCTTATACCTATCTCTCTCCTTCCTATAAACCCTAAACCCTAAACCCTAAACCCTAAACACTAGTAGACTATCGTTCCTTGTGCCTAACTAAAATGACCCGTTTAAGGGTTTAGGGTTTAGCAATTAGGGTTTAGGGTCTAGCAATTAGGGTTTAGGGTTTAGCAATTAGGGTTTAGGGTCTAGCAATTAGGGTTTAGGGTTTAGCGATTAGGGTTTAGGGTTTGGGGTTTGCAGGTTATAGCGCGGACCCTCAAGGAATTGTTGCAGGCGCAGACTTAGAGTGGCTTCCTGTTGCTGCTCTGCTGCTGCAGCACAAAGCTGCTGCTGCTGCTGCTGCTGAACCAGCAGCAGCAGTACAACAACAGCAGCAGCAGCAGCAGCAGCAATTAACTGTTACTACTATTGCCCTAGGGCATGCAGGGGGCCCTGCTGCGCTGCTGCTTGCATGCGGAGCAGCAGGAAGACGATTTGCTACGCAAAACACATGGTAACCTGCTGCTGCTGCTGCTGCTGCTGCTGCTAAACTTTGCTGCTGTTGCTGCTGCTGCTGCTAACACGACGATTCTTGCAGGTATTGAACTTCGATCATTCACAAGATAATGCCTCTTGCTGCTGCCTTTGCTGCTGCTGCTGCTGCTGCTGCACTTTCTGCTGCTGCTGCTGCTGCTGCAGGTTAACGTTGAAGCCCCCTCCTCTTTGCTGCAGCGGCACCCCACAGGAAGTTGCTGGGAGAGCAGCAGGTCGTGGCAACGTGTCCCAGGTGTACATAAACCTGCTGCTGACAGCTACCCAGCAGCAGCAGCAGCAGCAGCAGCAACAGCAGCAGCAAGAAGCACGTATAAGGGAGCTAGTGCTGGAGGGAGGGATGTTAGATGCTGCTGAGGCAAAGGAATTAAACCTTATAGATGAGGTCCAACCTTGCTGCTGCTGCTGCTGCTGCTGCTGCTGCTGCTGTTGGTGCTGCTGCTGCTGATGTTATTGTTGTTGTTGTTGCTGCTGCTGCTGTGTTTGTTGCTTGGTCGGAGGGTCAGTCTCCTGCTGCTGCTGCTGCTGTTGCTGTTGTGCTGCAGGTGCTCACTTAGCTGTCCTTGAGAGACTGTGGGGCCCTCCTTCACAGACAGCAGCAGCAGCAGCAAAAGGAGCAGCAGCAGCAGCAGCTGCTGCTGCTGCTACTACTACTACTATTGCTGCAAAACAAAGGAGGGCGTAGTAAGATATCCTCCGTATACTCATCCAAGAGTATATATAGACCTGCTGCTGCTGCTGCCGTTGCTGCTGTTGCTCCTGCTGCTGCTGCTGCTGCAGCAACAGCGAAATCGCTGCGATGTGCCCCTCTTTGCAGCAGCAGCAACAGCAGCAGCAATAGCAGCAGCAGCAGCAGCAGCAGGGCAGCCGTTTGTGACTATACATTGACATTTATTTATTTATATTTTATATTTATTATATATAATACATTATATATATATATTTATATAAATAAATAAATAAATAAATAAAT